CAGGCAGGCAGGCAGAACGGAGCACTGAATTGAAGTGCGCGCGGGCGGGCGGGGTGGGGGTAAACGGGCGCTTTGGAGGAGCTGCGGCAACAGGAAAAGCCACCACCACCCCCGGCTTCTTTGAAGCAGTTTCTTCCTGGGCTGGTGGAGCAACGAGAGAGCGACTGAGAGAGGAACGAGGCGGGAGGAAACCGAAGCTGCTGAGCCAGAGAGCAGGACAGGCTTCGGTTGCTTCCTCCCTCCCCTTCTTTCATTTGTGTCCTTGATCCCCGATCCCAGCAGCATTCACCGAAGGCGAAGAAAGCCGCCATTTTTTTTTCTTCTTTGCGGCCCGGTACAGAGTGCTCCACGGACCGGGACCGGTCCGCGGCCCGGTGGTTGAGGACCCCTGAGTTAAAGAAGCCTTTTTTAAAATCATGACTTGTTGAGGTAATTCCCCGTTAGAAGAATCAGCGCATACAGGGAGACGTATAGAGAGTAGTGTTTGAATAATACACACACAGCACACAGATACACTGTACAGTAAATGTAGTTTTTACTTTCAATAAAGATTTAAGCAAAGTTCAAAATAGGCAGTCCAAAGTCATTCACAGGTAAATCAGTCAGTTTTCAATCCAGGGATAATCCAATGACAAAGTCCAGTGTCAAAAATAGTTCAGTATCAGACTTAAATCAAATCCAAGAATAGCAGTCAATTAGAAAAAATGGAGGAACGGCAATACTCTCCAACAGAAGGAAATAGAGACTCACTCATACTCTCTTCTGAGACTAAGACTAAGACTAAACAACCCAGGTTTCTGTCTCCATCTTATGGCCATTTTAGAAACCACGTCCAACTACAGTTTTGCATTTTCTTAAAGATACAGTTTTAAAATGTCTATCCTGGTTTATATATTTCCAACCCAAATTACTGTTAGGTGACTTATATTCCTAACATGACTCATGAAATAAAATATAGAATCCTCTGCACATTCTTTGACTGTATTTGCTATCCAACAATGGAGGGTTTGTTTAATTGTGAAGAGCTGTATCTCCTTCCTTCTTTGATGAATTATTCAAGAATACTAAAAAATAAACCAAAACTAAAAACTAAACTAAAGCAAGAGTTAAAATAAAATAAAATAAAGGACAAAATAAAACCAGGGGTTGGTAGCCTGAAAGATGAATTTGTTGCCACCTAGAAGTCTAAGAGGTCAAAATAGATTTGGATAAATGCCAGTGTCTCCCTCTTAAGGCACCATGAGTAAGAAGCTCCTCTGTCCAAAGTTGTCTATATCCTTTTGAAAGGTTATTTAGATGCCTTCTTTGGAGAGTAGTGTTAAGAAAGGCCATTCTACCCAAGACCTCCTTGTTATAAGTCAGAGTCTATATATCTTACTGACCCAAGTCAGACAAATCCAGGAGGTTCTGGGGTTGGGAGAGCACTGGCTTAAAAAGATAATATATGTGGTCCAGAGATATATTTGGAATGGATGTTCTTGAAACACTCCCTTTGTCTCCCTTAATTCATTCAACAAAAAATCCTCTTAACTCCACCTTCCCAAATATGATGCTGTCTAAATATGTTAGGTTAGCATCTCTCTAAATTCCTGGGCTTACCTGCTGACTAGGAATTCTGGGAGTTGTACCCTTAATAACCTGTAGTTCTTAAACCTGCATACCTGAAGAGCATGAAAAGAGCCTTGCTCAATTGCTCCAGCAGTCTGCATTCCACAGGAATCCAATTGGATTCCTCTGAGGAATTCACAAAAAAAGATAGGATAGGGCAGTGGTGTGAAACTCGATTTCATTGAGGGCCGCATCAGGGTTGTGTTTGACCTCAGGGGCTGGGGTGGGTGTGGCCAGCTCGACATCACTCCTGATGGGCACCTGTGGTGGTCCAAGCGCTCTCCCAGCAGAAACAGGCTCCCAAGCTCCATTTTCGGCTGCCACAGCCTCCTGCAACCCTCTGCCCATTTTCCCTGGCAGAGGAACCTCGGGTCGGTCCTTTGCTGTTTCCAGGACAGCTCCACGGGCCAGATCTAAGTATCCCGCAAGCCAGACCCTGCCCCCGGGCCTTGAATTTGACACCCCTGGCATAGGGGATAGGGGACTTCTTCTACCACTTCTTCCAACTCAGGTCTAATGTCTGCTGCCTTGATTCAGGAATTAGGCAAATAGTCGGCAAAACTAATAGCCCTTGATATCCCAATGCCAACTTGGAGGTTATTTCCCATATCAAATGGCAGTAATCCACAGCCCTTCCATAGTCATCCCTCCCCCCCTTTAATTGTGTGGCTTATCCTTAAAGATGCAGAAGAAGAAACCCAGGAAAGGAAAATTGGCTCCTCAGAGATGAGTGCCAAGTCTAATGCCCCTTAGCCGTAAACTTGGCAGTCATCCCTAAGGAGCCAACCTTGATCTGTCTGCTGTGCTCTTTTGCCAGGGTTCCTGCTGGGTTCAAGTCTCTGCTTGCTTATTTTTCAGGTGACATTACAGAACACTCACGAGCCTTCAGTGGAGGTCAACACAACAGATTGGCTCCATGGGGAACACTGTCTTCGTGCCCGAACATCCTTTAGAAATGAAGACAAGTGGAGCAATTTCTCGGAACCAGTTTGCCTGTGGTTGCCTGAAGAAAGTGCAGGAGGAGTCACAGGTCGAGAGCTCCGTTTTCCCAGGGAACTTGATCCAATACAGATCTTTATGTAGGATTGGAAATGTCCAGTTTTATGCACCCATGGCCAATGCAATCCCATTAAAGTATTGCGATTGGACTTTTGATGTAAGCCAAAAACACACCAGAAATCAAGCAATCAGAGAAGTCCATGATGACTTCCTCCATTTTGAACTGGGAGCCGCCCAGGGCCGTTTGCAGAGATCGGTGGCTGTAGAAATTAAATACATGCATTCATGCATAAATAAATAATAAATAAATAAATTGCAAGGCAGAGTTGCAGCGCTTCCTTTTTTCCCCCTTCTTTTCACCAGCAGCTCCAGAGAATTTATCTGCTACATGGGTTCATTTTCTTGCTTATCATGGTTTACTTTCTTACACTTTCCTTGCTTTTGGGGTGCAGCTCCTTTTCTTCTTTCCTCTGCTAGTGGCCTGGAGCAAGGTTACCTCCAGTTTTGGGACTCTTGTTTGGGTACTATATCTCACCCTCCTATCTCCCTCCAGACATTACAGTTACCGTGATTCTCTCAACAAAGATGTCCAATGGCTATCAGAGTTGAGCAAGACGATAGTTCATTGGCAGAACAAGAGGATTGTCTGCAAAAGGTCCTGTTTCAGTCCTCAGCATCACCAGAGAGAGCTAGGAGAGATTCTTAGTTGGAACTTCGGATCCTAGGCCAATACATGATATTGTTAGTTTGTTTTAAACTGAAAAGTGTTGTTTAGATCAGTCTTTTTGTACCTGGCATTCTTCAGAGCGTTGGACTTCAGTTAACTTGGTAATTAACAATTCCAACTTCCTATCTATTGATAACTGAACTGTGCATTTTAGTATCTCATAATTGCTTTTTTTTTTTTTCTTTTCCTGTAGGAAAATGGGAAATTGTTGCCATTCCTTTGCTTGCTATACTGGCTACTGGTGCTGTGTTGCTTATCTTCTATTACAACCACACGATCAAGCAAGTTGAGACGCCTTCAGCTTTGGTATGGGAATTATGGAAGATTTCAGAGATGAAACAGGGGGAGGTTGACTTCCATAATAGTGTGCATCTTTTCATACATAGAGCCTGCACTGATCTGATATTGATGCCATGCCTGTATGGGCCCATAATAGATTGCATCGGTTTTTCACCAAGACAATTAATTTTCAGCTCAGAAGAAAGACTATTTTCAGTATTTCTTCTGGGAACGTGGGGCAGGCAGTTTCCCTTTGGCAGGAATTCTTGTCTCCTTAAGAGTTTCTCCTCATCCTTCAGTCAATATAATGTGACATCTTGCTGTCTTCATCCATATGCTTTGTGGCAGCTTTGAGGGACAGCTTTGCAATCTCCTAGTGAGTGGCTAATAGTTTTTTTTTCCCCCTCATTGTACGAAATATGCATCATGAGGGAAAAACAAGGTTATGTAGGCTACAGGCCAGCTGCCATTTTTTTTTACTGTTCCCCATTGGACAACTGGAGAGGGCATTGAATGAGGAGATTGTCGTGGTTTGATAAACAAGATTCCATAGTAGCGACAGAAAAGAATATTTGTAACTCAGGGTTGAACTGTGGGGTCCTTGGTGCTCTCTGAGCTCGGTTGTTTTCTGGCAGATGTTTCATTACCCAACTAGGTAATCATTATCAGATGATGTTACCTAGTTGGGTAATGAAACATCTGCAAGAAAACAAGCTCAGAGAGCATCTAGGACCCCATCGATTCCCTGTTAATGTGGAAAATAAGTAATGGATATAAATTCTTGGGCAACGTCTGTCTGAAACAGTTTGGAGACGTGCTATTTGCTTCTTGCTTAGAATTCAGTTACATGTTCTCTTGGTCATGATCATGGTTACGTTAAATATCGCAGCACAAAGCAGGTGGTTCTAAAAGAAGAAGAAGACAGCTAGCAGAGGAAAGGGACGTAAGAAGCTTTCTTTAGTAACTAAAGGGAGTGATTATCTTTGAGAAATGGCCTGCATGACAGCCAGGACTCATTTTGGCCTTATCAACCATCATTTGTTCACTGCAGAAGAAATAGCAGCAAGATTGATGACAAGAGATTGTGAGAGTTGTGCTTCAGAACACCTAGAAGGCACCAAATTCATAATCTCTGCTGATTAAACCATGTTCACAAAATTTGCTTGCCGGTCTCTTAGTCAAGAGTGCTGATGTTGAATAAGACCACTGATCAACAATTGTTCCAAGTGTTCAATTGTTTAATACTGTATATCCCATGATGAATACTGGCCTGCATTGTGGACAGATGTTTAATGTTATCAATATGCAGTCCTTCAGAGATATCTCATTCCCAGCCTTGTAGCCTGACACTTTTTTAATTGAGAAGGCTAATTGGACCTAGAAATTTTACTCATCTTAAACAGATGCTCTGTCATTGAGCAGGATGAGCTTTGCTCATATAAAAGGGATTCATAATTGGCATTTCGCAGCTGATGATCTTGGACTAATGACATCTGATAGCAATTATTCCACTCTTGAGGGTATTTAGTTCCTATACAAGTTAAATTCACCCAGAGGTCCCCTCAAAGTCACCCATCAGAAGGACCCCAGTCAGTTTAGCCTATATAGGAATCAGATTTGTGGAGAATTTGGATTTAGTGTGGTGTATTAATAAGTGCAAAGATCATTTTCAAATTAAAATGGGTCATTTAAAAAATCCAGTTATGATCTTTAAATGATTAACTACATTCTCTTGGTGCTGTATCATTTGTTCTGTTTAAACTGTGCACCCATTTAATCATGTAATCTTAGACTTATTCCATGTCTTAAGAATGTTTCAGAAGCAGCTTATATATATTCTTTAACAGATGTTCTGAGTTTTGTTTCATAAGCATTTCATTTGTTCAGATCTCTAAATAGGACGTCTTTTCCTGGCTCTGTTTGAACTATGTTACTCAAAGATATTGAAACCAGTGAGAGAAATTCCTGAATTTTTATTCTCTTGCCTTATCTTCCTTGCCAGGGACTGTAATTCCAATTAAAAAAAACATAGAAGAGTGGACAACCTTCTCTTTTTGAATAATGCATTTTATGATAGAAACACCTTTACAATTATCTTAGCTTTATGTCCTTGGCAAATTCTCTGCATCCTTGAAAGAAAATCTCAGCACAATTCATCTTCTTCAAGATCATGGCTATAGAAATAAATTCCAAATTATCAAAAGCTTTCTATGCATCAAGAAAAATCATAGCCACTTCCCCCTTTTTCTGGCACCTGGCAGCTCTTTGAAGCTTTATTGTCTCATACCTATAGTCAAAAACGCTGCTCTACTGAACACCCTACAGTCAGAACCTACAATATAATTGGTGAACAATTAGGGGGAATAAATTATTGGTTTTAGTTACCATCTTAAATGAATTCAATTTTTTACTTCCAGATCTTATTTTTGTTGAATAAGCTTAATGTTACTTACATTCCAAATTTCTAAATTTCAAGTCAAGTTTTTGATGCAGCGAATACAGATGTCCATTTATAATAAATCTGTGTTGATACAATCAGTAAACAAAGCACAGCTTCTCAACAATCAGTCCTGTTGGTCTCCACCCAGTCTTGTTAGTTGTTCTTACTTCCTGTTTCTCAGTTTTAAAAAATGAAAATGCATTGTTTCTCTCTTATTCCCCACTTCTCCTTTCCCAAATTAGGATTTTTCTAAGTACCAGCACCCAACGTACCTGCTGAAATTTAATGAAAGGAAGTTGACCATACAGAAGGTCGACTTTATTCTGGAACCGAAAATCACACCTGCCCTGTCAACTCTTTCAGTGGATTCTTTGTCAAAAGAAAGTGAAGACAGCGAGGATGTGGATGATAGTAGTAGCCACATTCCTTACACAAAAACTCTTCGATTCCAGAAGAAGGATGAAAACTGCTCAACGGTTGGCACTTTTCCAACATGTTCCGGCTCTTCTTCTGGATCTGGAGATTCTCAGCGAAGTGGAGAAAGCTGGCCAGCTGCAACAATGTCAAAGCCCTTTTTTACAGCAGAATGGATGACAGCGGGTGCTTCTTCTGGACTCTTAGAGAAGACTTTCCTTTCTGAGGACTCCATTATGGATGAATCAGTTAGCTTTGCAGATGACTTCTCAGCTCCTAGTAGAGAAGGTCAAGAAATTACAAACAGTGATGTCGACTTTTTGAACCAGTTAATATTATCAGAAAGTCATGGCTTGTGCTTTTCCACAGGTTTGCAAATTAGAACTGGAGGAGTCCAATGCAGAAGCATTTGTGCAAGTCTAGAAAACTCACAGACATCTCTTTGTAGTCAGCCTGAAAGGCAGTTTATAGAAGAATGGAGATGTGAAAATGACTCTAGCAGTCATGAGTCTGTCCGGCAAGAAACATCTCTGCTTGATGTGTTTTGTAAAGACAGGGTTGAAAATGGAGAACGGGTTGAAAACAATACTCTGAAATCTACAGGCCACAATTATCAACCCAGACAAGGACATTACATTTCAAGAACCTGATGCCAGTTACTGGTATGTATTCTAAGAGTTAGAGAAGATCTTGCCATGATTTTTCTGAAAGATCCTTTGGTGAGAGTTGTACTTTAAAAATCCCAGTCAAATTCTGTTTGGAATCAGAATGAACCAAACAGGACAGAGATTATAGTTACATTCTATTTCTAGGTTGCCATATTCTTCCATTACATCTTATTCTACAAAACAAAACAAAGCAAAACTGAACTTTCCTAAGTGAAATTCCATTGAGATTGAAAACCGGAACAGTGGTGTTCATTAGTGATTTTGTCATGGAAATTAGAATTTTCCTATGGAGAACTGGAATTCTTGGAAAAGTGAGTGTTGTTTCCCAACTGACTATTGGGATGTTCAGCTAAAAAATATCATATTTTGGATATCCATATCCATTTCTCCATTTGTGAATAGTTGGATATGTTTTCCCCATCTATTTTAGTCTTTTTTTGAACAGTGATTTCTAATCAGAACTGTAACTAGCCATTTGCAACTCTCTTTAGTGTCCACAAATTGGTTTAAGCTTGCTGACACCAATATGTGAACAAATAACAGTTCAGTCTGAGATCAAGAATTGAGAACAGGAAATACAGAAGGTTCTTGTGGAAACATTAAGCATTGCATTATGTGAGCTAATCCAGACTGGTGCTGTTCTTTTAAGGTGAAAGGCATAGTTTCTAGAATTGAGGAAGAGATAAAGATAATATCTCCCTCTTTTAGAGAAAGTTCTTTCAACCTCAAACTAGGCCTTAATAACCTTTTTTTCATCAACTCATTGCAAAGACAAAAAAGAAATGTCAGATATGCTCTTTATTGTGCAATTGTATGCACACAAACTTGGATCTAAGTTTATATTGAAGTGAAATACCAATAAAGGAAAATACCTGTAGCTAAGGGTTGAAATTAGGGGGTCCTTGGTGTTCTCTGAGCTTGTTTTGTTTTCTTGCAGGCATTTCATCACCCAACTAGATAACATCATCAGCGCTAGTGTTGCTAGTACTGCTAAATGCTAGTGATGTTATTACTGATGATGTTACCTAGTTTGAGCAATGAAATGCCTGCAAGAAAAAAAGCAATCTCAGAGAGCACCAAGGACGCCTAACTGTGAAGTATTTCAAACCAAGAGCCACTCTCAGATTCTAAATATTATTATAAAATGTCTTTGTGTTTTATGCCTTCATTTACATCTCATATTGAGATTGCCATGTTGTGTCTCTCATTGGTTGGGGCAACAAAATTCATGGACCATTGTAGTTCAGAGTTGAACTATAACTCTTTGGTGCCCTGTAATACCGGAAGTGATGAAACGGGCCTATAATTCGGCCTGAAAAGCCTTGCAGAGGCTTTTTCCAAGCCTATGGGAGGCCGAAAAAGGCCTCAAAGCAGCCGAAAAATCAGCTGTGAGGCGCAGTGCAGGTTAGGGGATGGGGGGAATTGCGCTCGCATGCGCAAGAGACGTGGGGAGGGGGCCCCGCACATTGCATTCTGGGTGCTGGCATGCAAGTGCATGCGCGCTGGTGCGTGCGCAGTTTTTGGCACAGGAGCCCAAAAAGGTTAGCCATCACTACTCTATTGGGTGTCCTCTAGAAGTTTTGATCTCTCAAAGTTCCCCAGTTAACCTGTCTAAGAGAAAGTCGAAGGATAGCAGGTTGGAGACGTAGCCCATACACACTTACGGCATTTTAACAGAATTTACTTAAGGGATTTTTATTGCAGTAAAATTTTACGTGCAAATATGTATTTCTATTAACTCTTGAAATCCCTCTTACTGACACTATTGGCTTGCTTCAGTGGAGCAATAGTTTCTTCCTACACGAATTGGCTGGCAACTAGCCTTTATGTCTTAAACGAGACAGTATTATTAAGTTAACCAAACCTAAGTTCATTGATAAATACGGCTGCAACTAGAAACTCCGCATGGACTTTCCCAATGTTGGTCCTGAATGGGGAGATGGGGCAATGAACTTCTCTTGAACCCCAAGTTCCCTTCTCAATTCAGAACTTCAGTTATAATTGTAGAAGATAAGGTTGAGGGTGGGTTCAATATAAGAGAAGAATTTAAAGCAGGGGTGTCCAA